AACAACAACAATTGTTACCTGTATATATATTTCTAACAGTTTTCTATATGTTCCAATTTGTTCCTATTTTTTAAATGCCTTTTTATGTTACATAAATGTTTTTAGTGTGGCATTTTGTTTTACAACTTTGTTGATTTTCTTAGTGATTACTGTAAGAATTAACAACATGCATCTTAGCTTACCACAAACTCCATTAGATGAATACTACAAAACTTTCATTAAAATATAGAACATGAAGTTATCTTTTTATTTCCTTATTTCATGGCTATGTACCAAGGTCAAAAAAACCTCATCTTTCTCCCATGGAGCATTTGGTGGGCTTGAACTGTCCAATCTAGTCCAATGTTTATCATACCAAGACACCACACTCCCTTATAAGAAGTGGGTTTTGTGTCCTTTTAAAATTAATCTTTTCCTACTCAAAGTCACTCAAAGATATTCTTCTATGTTTCCCTCTATGGTTGTTATTAGCATTCATAATTATATCTGAAATGTAGTAGGAAGTTTTTGGTATTTTTTGTAGAATGTGAGGTAAGGGTCACAATTCCTGTTTTCTCCATATGACTATCCAATTGATCTTTTATTAGAAAGACTGACCTCTTTTCCACTGTATTGCAGTACCAGATTAATTAAAAGACCAAGAGTTTAATATCTCCTTGGTTATCTTTTCTGACTTTATTCTGTTCCATTAATTAGTTGTCTACCTTTGGGTTAACCCCACAGTCTGTTAATTACTCTGACTTTAAATAGTCTTGATACTTGCCAGCATATGCTATCCAGCTTTGTCCATTTTTCCAATATTTCACTAGCTATTCTTTAACATTTGTATTTCCATGTAGATTTTAGAATCAGTTTGGTAATTTCATAAAAATTGGATTTTTCACTTAAATTATGATAAATCAGATCAATTTGAGACTAGTTGACACCTCTTCAATACCGACTATCTCTATTGTTGGTCTAAGCCACAAGTTTGTGGTTCAAACTCATGAATTGCTCTTTGGAAACCCAATTCAGGGTCCTTATGAGTTGGAATCAATCCAATAGCACTTAACAACACCAACAACATAATTAACATAGTTATATTGTTAGCAGCAATTGAGTCGATTCCAATTCCTAGTTATTGTGGCACTGTGTATTAATGTGCTGGACTGCAAAGTTGGCTTGAGCCACAAGATTGGCAGTTCAAGCTTACCAGCCTCTCCTTGGAAACCCTATACAAGGTCGCTATGGGTTGGAACCAACTCAACAGCACTGACCAACAACCCTATGTGTGCAGCATAGAACTGCTCCATAAGGTTTTCAAGGCTTGTCAGAAGCAGATCACCAAGCCTGGCTTCCGAGGTATCTCCGTGTAGGCTTTAATCGCCAATTGTGTAACCCAGGGACTCACTGAATTGTAGCGTATCACTGCGGGATAAAGCATTGGACCCCAAGGTTGGTTTGAACCACAAGGTAAGTGATTCAAATTCAGCAGCTGCTCCTTGGAAACCCTATGAAGGGTCACCACAAGTCAGATGCAACTCAATAGCACTTAACAACAACAACAAACATTTATTTAGGTCTTTAGTTTCTTTCAATACAGCTTTTTCATTTTCTAGTGTGGGGATCCTATATTTTTGTTGGAAAAATGCAATGGTGAATTGCAGTGGTGCTGTAGGATAATGTACTGGACTGAAAGGTTGGTTTGAACCAATAGGTTGGTGATTCAAATACACCAGTCACGCCTTTGAAAACCCTGTACAGGGTTGCTGTGAGTCAGAACCAACTCGATGGCACATAACGACAACAACGAAGTATTTTATTTGTGGAAAAGAACACGATATACGTATTACACATGCATTCTTACCCAAATACACCCATATGCTCACACTCACAACATTCACGTCTGTCCAACTAGCATGAGGTTTGACTATGATCTTACCATTCTATTCTCTGAAACACTTAGGAAAACAAAACAAAAGTCTGCTTCTCCTTAGTCATTGTTTCTCACCTATTTTCCATGAAGCTAAGACCGCTCAGTCTTTATCTTCAATAAAATTCCTAATTCTTTTTCCATTTCCAATAAAATATCCATATCTAATTCTCACGAAAATAAAGGTGTAAATAACTATTGTGAAAGAACAGTGAGTATTTCAAGGAGTTAAATACATCTTTACATCTCATGCTGTTTTGCTGTGTATATATAGTAAGCAGAGATAATCCCTATAAGGCCTTCATATGTCAACAGTGATGCCCTATGTTGTTGTTTTTTTCAAGTTTCTTTCTTTGAATCTATAAATCAAGAATGCAGACACACATACAGAAGGGAGATGTTCTGATCTCTAATAGTTAAACCTTAGGAGCCTTGTGCCTTGCTTAATGTTCACAAGCACGTCTAAAACTATGGGAGCTGAAGGGAATATGTCCTGAAAACTTTGAAGTACATCCATCACCAGAGAAATCCTGATTCTTTAAAGTCAATATAATGTTTACTATTTATATTGCTAAGGGAAAGAAACAAAACAAAACAAAAAAACCAACAACATTGCTACACATACATTCATTTTATCAAAAGAAAAACCTTAGGAGATTGATCTATACAAGTCAACAGAGTAAATATATTACACTGTATTTGATTTGTGATTATTTATATTCAAGGCATTCTTGGTTTCAAACTTTTGCTCCTTTGATGTAAGTGACTTTGGCAGCTAGCTACTGAACTGTAATTTTCCCTCTATTGGGAGAAAGAGCTATTTAATTCTATATGTCGGGGCATTCATGTGTGAAGGGCAAAGGCCAGCCTGCTGAGATCCAAAGTTTAAAACCTCCATGTTTCACCCAAGCTAAATCTATCCAAGTATTTAATTTCATAGAAAGCATCCATTTTTTTTTTTACGTCCTCTAATCTGTGATATATCAGATGTTAAAAAAAACAGCAACACACAAAACCACACATTATTTTCTCATGAAGAAAGACAGGGTTAGACTAATGCATATTATTCATTTAAGCTCAATGAATTATTACAGAACATTCATTTCTTATAGAAACTGTTTTCATTGTTGAAGAAAATATCTTTTGACTAAGAATTCCAAACAGAATCTTTCCTGTCAAGGTCCCTAGAACTAGAGATAGTTGAAAAGTAAGTTCTACCTGGTGAATATGTTACAATATTTGTATAATATATATATATATATATAAACTTAGCAGTACTATCATGGTTAGACAATTTTACATGTATTTTTGGGTGTATTTCTGATTTTTGAGGTGTTTTGACATAATTGGACCAAACCTTTTAACACAAATCTTTCTATAATGGAAATGCAATGGACTCATGATCCCACTAAGAATCTAGCCTAATGGGCCACCATAAAACTCCTCTATCCCCTGCTGACCTCTAAGTATAGAGGGACAGAAAAACACTTAGAAGTATTTAACTGGGTTAATCTCAGAGCTAAGATAGTTGTGAATTACTTGACTACAGAAACTCAGAATTGTCTGGGGCATTAGTAGCCTCCCTGTCTGACCAACCATACAATGTCTCCCAGACCCACACTCCGCCCCCTTACAAAGTCCAGAGCACATAGTTATCAAGCATTGACCTAGTGACTCCACAACTGAAAAAGTGAAAAATTCTTACCTTAGCACATTCAAACCAAAAAAAAATAGTCACTGAGTTGATCCCTATGCATGCCAATCCCATGTGTCAGTGTTGAACTCCATGGAATTTTCAATGATTGTGATCTTTCAGACAGAGATTCCCAATCCTTTCTTCTGAGACACTTCTAAGTGTACTCCAACCATCAAACTTGTGGGTAATAATAGGGACTGTTCAATGCTTCATCAAGGAACTCCCAGAGATACTCAGACTAGAAACACTCAAATTGTTTCAGACCACTAAGAGTCCTAGCTCCATGCCTAGAAACAACAAAGAAAATGCCTAATTTCCTCTTGCCAGAGAAGAATTTCCAATACTTGGTAATAGTGGTTGGTGGTATCTCCTAAGCTCATTCTCTTCCAAAGTAGACTCAAATTCTTTTCTCAAACTATTCTCAAAAGTAATCATTCTTAAGTCCATTCCCCCTAGAAACAAACGCTTATCAAATACCCTCAGAAAGTATGTTCCCAGAACAGCTCCCAGGCCTTATGTACAAAGTATATCTGTGTATTCAGGAAAGGGAAAAGCTCTCCCTATGTAAATTAGGATCAAATACATGCTGCCATCTCCTTTTAATAATGCATGCAAGACTTTTGATCCACCATCCAGTCTCACTAGGAATAAAAAGGGGCTTTCTTCCTGCCTAATTTGCTTATGAAAAATATCCAATTATATTCTAAGTTTAATTCACTTAGTAATGAAAAGTAAATGAACCCAAGCAGCCTGTTTGATTTGTCTTGGAAAGAAAGATACTGATTTGCAAGAATAAACAAAGTTAAATTAAAATAAGCGACTCTCTTTGATGGTAGAAATTGAATTTTCCCCTAAAGAATTTAGTTTCCATAAGAACGGGCGGACACTAATAAAAAAGAGAATGTCTCAATACAGAACAACTCTAGATTATACCATGTGGTCTCAAATCTATGTTTGTGAGTCTGTGTGTATGCACACTAAACCCATGAGGATTTCATCTACGGGGCAGCAGAGTGGAGAACTCATAAGTGTACTGAGTGAATGGACTTTCACCATCAGGCAGCACCTTACATACCGTTTTTGCAGATGGGACAACACTGGTTAGGTTCATACACGGGGTCCACACACTCTGTCTGAGGACACGCAGACACTGTGCACAGTACTTCTCCACTGGCTTCACAGCGGCACCGCTCGCAGGGAGACACCTGAAACACAAGACCATTTGTTCAGGTCACTCCTCCAGCAGTCTTTACCAGACGCACTCTGTTTCTCTCCCACTACTTCCTGGGAAGACACCCAAGTGTTGCAGGGATGTTCAAAACGTATCCAGTGCACTGGTTTTACAAGTGTGGTGGACACAGGAGTCCTGGGTAGTTTAGTAGATTCTCCTCTGGTATAAAGACACAGTTGTGTTTCCACCCTCCCACTCAACACCACCCAGAGCAGTTCCGTTCTTTATTGGCCTACATGTAGGCCTTTAAGCATTCTTTTAAATAAAGATTATTGTTTCCTTAAAAAATAAACCTATCACAATTCAGTTTTTGCCCATATCCTCATCCTATAAATGATACCTCTTCCACAGCCTTGCCAAGTAGCCACCAAACCTATCAAGGCTCAGTGCCCCTGATTCTAGTTTTGAAAAATGATAGAACAAGAATCAGTGAAAGGAGGACAGATGCAGACTATACTCAGGAGAAGGCACACTGTCCTCTTCACTCAGCTATCACATCAACTCCAGAAACAGCTACGAAAATGGTTATCTGATGATGACGAAACTGAGACTCAGTAGGATTAGGCAACTTTCTGTTTTATAAGAAGTAGAACAACTATTACCATTAAGATTCCTCATTCCAGAACCCATTGTGATGTCTTTTCCTCCAAAGCCTCTCATTCTTGTGCATTGTCCAGTGGTATGATGTTCTTCTCTATACTACTGGTCTTCAATCTGTGCTTCCACCCTTTCATCCAAATTCTACCATTGGGGTCATTTAAACCAAGCATAATACCCATTCCACACTGCAAAGGCTGTGCACTACCCGGTGAATCCTGCTCAGGTATTTCAAGTAGGGTGTTGGTTTTGTTTTGTTTTTGTCGATGGTGTATTTCCTAGAACCCCCAATGTGGGCATAGTCTATCTAGGATGACCCAGGAATAGGCAGCACATGAAGAGTTAGTAACCAGAAGTAGGAATTGAAGTGAAATAACCATTTTTAAAGGAGTCTTGATGTGGTGCTGTCAGATAAGCACATGACTGCAAAGTTGGTTTGAACTGCAAGGTTGGCAGATCAAACTCACCAGCTGCTCCTTGGAAATCCTATACAGGGTCGCTATGAGTCAGAATCAGCTCTGTGGCAAACAACAACAACTTTAAGGACAATGCAAATGGGGTAGAGGAATAACGTCAAGCTAAGTCCTGCTTCCCTAATGGCAGCTGGACTGACTTTGCAGTACCAGTATGTAAAAGAGCATCCATGATGCAAAGATTTGTAAAGAGCAGACAATACTCATAGCTGCTTCCTTAAAGTAAAAAAATAAGAAAATTAAATCTCCAGTGAATGAACTGGACATTTCATGAAGTCAAAGCTCAATTTCTATTTAAACAAATATGATTCTCAGACAATGGAACCAAATCAAACTGCCTGGGAGTCAGGCATTAGGAATGCAGGTATACAGGCACACACACTGGGAAAAGTTAAAAATGAAAGAAAGAAATTTTACCAAACTCTGTATTAGTCTGTAGAGGATCCCAGGTAATACAATAAGCTGCTAACTGCAAGGTCAGTAGTTCAAATCCACCGAAGATGAGCAAGTCTGCTTCTGTAAAGATTTGTAGCCTTGAGAATCCTAAGGAGAAATTCTACTCTATCCTATAGGGTTGAGTCTGTAATGACAGCAGTAGATTATGGATTTGGAAAGTTGTCCAGGACAAAAGCTTGACCTGCTTTGCAATCCAGCATGTTTGTGAGTAGTTTTAACACAAAAAAATTCTTTAACATCAATGACCTGTGATATTCTTTGTAGTTCTCCAGCTTCCTTGTATCCCCCTACCCATCCCTCCAGAGACATTTATAGCAACAATGTCTGTCTATAACATCCTTGCCTCAAGGGTGGATTCATCTAGCAAGCAGGACGAGAAAAAGTTTCAGTGTTTTAAAAAGCAAACACCTTGAGTTTCAAAAGACATGGTTTATTGTATTTCAGCATCCTTCAACCAGAAGTACTCTGGGCACAGCCATAAAGAACAGATGGTGTGGACTATATGATGTCAAATCAGGTTCACCTCTGCAAAGAAAATACAAATCATTCCACCTAAAGGGAAGAATTTCAGAAAGAAGTAAGACGGTGAGATACTGGTGTCTGTTTTACAGAAAAGGGTTCATCCACCCCCCAGCTAGGCTATACTATAGGGATGAAAGGGCAGTAGAAAGTACATTTTGGTGGGGGAATTTGACAGAAGAACTGAGTCCTATGTCTTGCCCCTGGTAGGGCTCCAAGAAAGCAGCGAGGCCACAGAACACGGTGTGGAGAATGCACAATTAAGAGAAAGTGTCAGGTTCTGAGGTAGCTGTTCCTGAGGCAGCCTCAGCAGCTCTTTTCTGCATGAAGGAGAGGATCCAGACAAATGAGGAAGAGCTCACTGTCCAGGAAACAGAACACATCTTACTCTTACTAGATATGATTTCGCTGTCTGTTTCACAGTGCTCTGCTAAAAACAAATGCACACAGCCTACTTTCTTATTTTCTTAAAGGCTCCTCAACTTTAGCAGAATCTGACCGTGAGTTTTACTGTCACTATGGACAACACTAAGGTGCTCTGGTAGTGTAGTGGTTACAAATCGGGCTGTGAGCCGCAAGGTCCGCAGTTCAAAAACTACCAGCTGTTCCATGGGAGAAAGATGAGGCTTTAGGCTCTCACAAAGATTTATAGCTTCTGAAACCCTGCAAGGGTCTCTATCCACATAACCACCACCAACCATGGGCAACACTGGAGTCCTGGTGTAGTGCTTTAGGTTAATGCACTGCCCTGGAAAGTCAGTTTGAACTACAAGGTTGGTGGTTCAAGCTCACCAACTGTTCATCAGAAACCATATACAGGGTCGCTATGGGTAGGAACTGACTTGATGGCACTTAACAACAATCACATGGACAACACTGCAGAGAATGAATATTCCAAACACTTAATTATGCTGATGAGGAACTTGTACATAGATCAGAAGGCAATTGCTCAAACAGAACGTTGAATGGGTTAAATTAGGAAAGGTGTGCACCAGGGTTGTATACTTTCACTGTACTTATTTTATCTGTATACTAAACAAATAATTCAAGAAGTTGGAATATATGAAGAAGAATTGGCACCAGGATTGGAGGAAGAGTGATTAATAACCTTCAATATGCAGACAATATAATCTTGCTTGCTAAAAACAAAGAGGACTTAAAAAACTGATGAAGATCAAAGATAACAGCCTTTGCTATGGGTTGCACCTCAATGTGAAGAAAAAAAAACCCTCACCATTGGATCAATAAATAACATCAAGATAAATGGAGAAAAGACTGGAGTTGTCAAAGAGTTCAATTTGTTTGGACCCATTATCAACACTCAAGGAAGCAGCAGTCAAGAAATCAAACTACATACTGCATTATGTAAATCTGCTGCGCAAGACCTCTTTGAAGTGTTGAAGAACAAAGATGTCAGTTTGAGGCCTTAGGTGCATCTAACACAAGCCATGGTATTTTCAATAACCTCATATGCATGTGAAAGTTGGACAGTGAATAAAGAAGACCATAGAAGAATTGATGCATTTGTGTCGTGGTGTTGAAGGAGAATGTTGAAAGTACCACGGTCCACCAAAAGAATAAATAAATCTGTGTTGGAAGAAGTGCAGCCAGAATGCTCTCAGAAGTCAGGGTGGCCAGATTCATCTCTCATGCTTCGATCATATTATCAGGAGGCACCAGTCTCTGGAGAAGGACATCAAGTTTGGTAAAATATAGAGTTATCAAAAAAGAGGAAAGCTTCCCCAAAAGATGGATTGAAATAGTGTCACAACAATGAGCTAACGCATAGCTATGATTGTGAGGTTGGCAGAGGACAAGGCAGTGTTTCATTCTGTTGTGCATAAGGTCACTATGGGCCCTAAAAACCACAACAAATACGAGGGAGTTTCAAAGAGTTCATAGAAAAATTCCCATCATATTTTAATTCCATTATCCACAAACTCTTTGAAGCTCCTTTGTATTTGGAAATCCTGATCCAATTTTTTGAAGAACTGTTCACTTCTCAACACTCTGAGTTGATATGTAAAGTCAGGTTCCCCTTGATTTTATCAAGGTTCCCCTTGATTTTATCTCTCTGACCTAATCTTCTGCTGCATACTTCTGCCTCCACCAACACCCCATGCTGATCCTATACTTCAGAGTCAGCCTTGTTCTAGTTCCGTATAGGAAGTCATCTTGTCCTCCTTTCAGTTAATCACTTTATCTTGTACCTATGTCTCATACACTCATAGTTGCCAAATTAAAAACAAAACACCTGATTGCATTAACTCAACAGCTAGCTGAGGAAGATGCAGCCACTCAGCTCAGGCTCAATGATTCACAGGGAGGAATCACCACTAACCTCCAATCCACAAGTCTGATGGCAACCAGGTCCTTTGGCACACGCTGACTCAGGACAGCTATTCTCATATTGTGTTGTCCCCACACTCCCTCTATACCCAGGAGTCAACCACATGACTCAGACTTGTCCTTGTGACCTCAGGAAACAGCTCTGATGGGTGGATGTGCCCATACTCAAATGAGAGCAGCTTCAGGCTCAGACCAGCACCAAGTCTTCATTCCACCCACAGCAGAAATGCTATGGCCTCTCATTGGCTGTAAATAAGAGGGTGCCTATGAGCAGACCTCAAAGCTTCAAGGCTCAGTGTGCCAGTCTTCAGGGCTGATCGAGTGTTCTGGGACATTTCCCCAACCCCTGCCAGTGAATGAACCCCACCCAAATGGTCAGCAGGACAGTCAACTGGCTCCATTGTCTAGAACTCAATAAGAAGCACAGCCTGCCCTGATTAGATTTCCAACGTGCTACTCTAACCCTAACCATGATATCTGAGCAACCAAAAGCTACAGATTCTTTATCTACCAACTCAAGTCATACAGTCTAAGGCCAAACAGCCTCTTGCCATCCCGTGGGTATTGTCAAATTGCAAAA